GAGTCAGGAGGCATAGTCAGCCGCCTAAACCTGCAGCTCAGGATTTATCTGCCTTCATTGCTACAAGGTCATCCTGCAGATTCTTAGGCAGTGCCAAGACCTCCACTCCAGCACCTTTTCTGTCAAGGTGCTTCTAGCCAGTTGGCTGCATAGGGATATTCTGCCGCAGGTGCAGGCAGGGTCATTGCATGTGGTTTTTGGACTTTGTTGTGAGCTTTGTTCAGCTTTTGTAGCTGTGTTGTATGCTTGATGGATAGCTGTCAGGCTGGGATTTGGCACTAAGGATCCTAGAGAAATCAGGCGATGACTTGTCTGATCTCCAAGCTTGTACAGCTCACCGTTCCCATCATTCTCTCCACTTTTGTTCATACGGCATTAGGATGCAGGGAAGACCAGGGGCCATGTCAGCTGTCTCTGATTTTTGTAAAGGGTATTAATTTGCAGTTTTATATTTTACAAAACGTGAATTTTAGTGTTGTCATAGTACATAAGTGATTCTAATACAAAAAGCAAATTTAACAAGGTAATTCTGCATAAGCTACTGTGGCGTAGCTGTTTTTGTGCATGTCTCCAGTTACATACTTACTCCATTGGCTTCGCTATTGAAAAGATTCCTCAACTGCAGCAGATGCTTGGTCATACTCCAGAGTGTGTCCTTTCTTTAATCTTTTGGAAATTGAATGTTCTAAGTTTTCCTTGAAATCAGAACATTTCTTTTGACTCTGTGAGTAACCACTTTTCTGTTAGCACAAGCAAGAATAGGTTTGCACCTACAGAGGCCACGCTGATACAGACAAGGATGCACAGCCTGTGTTTGTGAGACAGTTTTGTTTGTAGTTGTTACAGTTGTGCAGGCAGAGGTTTGGTGATGCAGCTTTAAATAGTACCACATGGAAGGAACTAATAGTAGGGAATACTATTCTGCTCAAAATGAGAAATGCCCAGTTACAGCATGGACAAATGCTCAAACACACAAACACATAGTCTCCCTCATTATTATTTGATCGACTTGAATACAGGCTCCATTTTCAAAGAAATGAGAAGTGTGAGTAGCTGCACTGCTTTGCCTGTCTGCTGGTTGATCTTTCCCCTTCTGTCTTTTCCTAGTGTGTATTTTACACTTTGTCAGAAACACTCAAACCAGAAGGTTCAGTTTTTGTAAGTATTAAGTGATAATATTCAAATGTCTACATATCCCATTTGCAGAGTGCTCAAACACTGGTCATAATGAAAGTTAGATTCTTATCATAGTGACTGAGAACTGTGAACCCATGCATCATTTGTAATACCTTAATTCACCTCTGCCTCACACTTTGCTTGTGGAAGAGAATTGATTGCAGGCTGTGGCATTGAATGCTTTGTCACAGGGCAATATGGCTTAAGATGCAGAAGCATTAAAAAGTTTGATACAGTGTCAGTATAATACCGCACTAGCTATTTCTAACTTTTTTTTTTTCCCCTAGGCTATTCAGGAGCAAATGAAAATCCATGGACAAGAGCCTGTTTCTTTTCAGGATGTCAAAGTAAGTTTTACTGAAAAGAGTACTGTGTGAAACACTTAAATGAGAATTTCATAATTTACTTATGTTACATGTCTAGGTTGTTGTATATTTATTTGCAGACTAGTAGAGATAATATGACAAGTCTTACTTCTAGGTTGGAAAATGTTTTTATGTTGTCAGTTGCTCTCTAAGAAATCCAGTGTGTAACTGCTCTAGTAGTTTCCTTACTAATAGACAAATTACCTGTTTAATACATGTTGCTGCGTCTTACACTAGGGTCAGGATCATCCGTTTGGAGCTTGGAGCAGACTGGTGACAAAAACCCATGTCTTACAAAGCTCTTTATTACGGCCTACTTTGCATTTAGCAGTTGTAGTACTTTATAGAAGCTCTGACACTTTCCAACTTCGCTCATAAAAGCTGAGTTTCATGTTACCATTTTGAGGCCAGAGCCTCCCCAGAAAAAACAAATTCTTCTTTGAGAAGTGGGAGGGAGCTCAGCCCACTGCTCCTATTACTGTGCTTTGTGTGGGACTTAACAGCTTTTATTTGTAAATTGGTGAGGGTAGCACTAGTTACCCAGAGATCACTCTGTATTATGGTATAAAGTAATCATTATTCTGATCATTAACGTGGGGGGGGTTTTCCCCCAATTTTGACTTTTCTTTCATAGGATGAAATCTTTGATATGGTGAAGCCTAAGGATCCTTACAAAATCTCCCTTCAGGACTTAATCAATAGCAGTCAAGGAGACACTGTTACCAGCATTCTAATTGATCTGAATGGATTCTGGACATATGAGAACAGAGAGGTCCTTGTGGCAAGTGATAATGACAACACTGCTGATGTTGATGATACATGAGTTTGAACAGGGGCAGACTGTGTCCACAGAGATACCTCAATCTGATGCACTAACTATTGAAAGCTAGAAGCACTCATTATCTGCATCAGTGCCTCTTCCATTTTATTTTCCTCCCAATATAAAATGTGGTACATATGGGAATTGCAGGACTAATTTCTGAAACCAAAAATGCAACTGCTTAAGAGATAAAAATTACCTGGTTTTTTTTTTTTCTTTTTTTTTAATAAATATTTTTGGACTTTTTAACCTGTGTACGAAGCCCTATTCTTATTTGAATACTGTATTGTAAATTTGAATATAACCCCAAAGTAAGGATATGATCCTTACTATCTTCAACAATGGCTTGTATCCACTCCACAAACCCAAGCCCCCCACTGCATTCTGTGTGGCTTCCTCTAACGCACTGTTGAGCATTCTGTTGTAAAGGCAGAAGTCTTCAGTATGAGGTAAAGTTTAGGCCTCTTTCTTCCATATGTGTCCAGCTTTAAGTGTCTAACAGAAAGGATAAGTAAATAACTATTGAACTGACTGAATGGTTGCCCAGTTCTCAAGAGGTTCATTAACAAAACTGCACTAGCTTTATATATAGTTAATCCAAATAACTGTCTAAAATCTTTCACCAATATAACCTCCTGTGCAAGTACGTTATGTAATTAAACTTAATTGTACAGCTGAGCTACAGCAGTAGTTAAAGTAGTGAATTTAACAAAGATGTAGAAATGTTTCAACTTTCAGATAAAATTACAATTGTACAATAGTTATTTATTACTGTGAGGTATTAGCGTTATTTATTAGCGTGAGGTAGTGCTGAGCATACCTCACACTAATGATGAGTGTGCTGAACATACATCAAGTATGGTACCAAGTGCTACATGAGGCTCTAAGGCAGGGGTACGGGTACTTACTATGTTATTTGAATTCCAGCAGGATGGGCGACTGCGTGAAGATGAAAAGACTGAACAGGCACATGCACCTGCACGCAGGCATAAAGTTGCAAAGACAGCACAGTTTTTGAAGAAAACCCATAGCCAGCTTCCAGTTCAAAAATTATATTAAATATAAAATAACCAATTAATGCATTTACAGGAAAATTAAACCATTATGAAAGTAACCACTTTCATACATTTTGCAAAAAAAACTGAAGGAAGGATTAAGTTAAGGCACAGTGAGTAACACAGTATTTTATACAGAGAAGTTTAAACCCAAGGCAGTGACAGCATTTCTGAGACAAGAGATAGTGTGGTGGGGGAGGACAGCCAGTGCTACTGATACAAAGCAAAGCATCCTTCAGCTTTACTCTTGAGCTGTGTGAGGCTTTCTATCTGTAATGGTGTAAGAACTCCCAACACATGGTTGTTCTATGTATTCCCCAGGTGTTGAACTAAGATGTTTGAGGCTTTCTGTCTGTGAGTGTAAGAACTCCCAACACATGGTTGTTCTGTGTATTCCCCAGGTGTTGAACTAAGCTCTCCCCTGCAGCTGTTCAGGCTAAGGAATGATTTTATACAGCTGTCAGCACCCTGTGTCTTACAATTAAAGGAGGAGGCAAAGAAGAGGGTATCAAAACAGATGTCATGGAGCTGATGATTGAATCCTCCTCAGAAGATTTTCTGGTAGTGCTGGAATGCTATGAGCAGATGAGAGGAGAAGGGATTTGTGCTTTACAAGACACTAGTTGAGCAGAGGTTGTCTAAAATACATAACTGAACTCTGGAAACTAACAGCCAAGTTATGTGGCTTCTGATGTTACATCAGGTTTCTCAGTTAGTTGGTAGTGGAACCAGGGACATACAGCAATACCCAACACAATTTCAGTGGAGACTGGTTTTGTTTTTTTTTAGAAGTACTGTTTCACATGGTAACTGGTGCAGGTTTTCTTCCCCTTGATCTAAAATGACTGTAGAATAAAAGTGACTGGGGCACTGACATCTGATTGTCACAACGTTAACCATTCTTTCACAGGCTGCGTGTAGAACGAGGGTGACTGCAGTAAACTAGACTTCATTGGCATCTGAGCTACTTAAAAGCTCTGGAGCCATCTGTGTTTCACTTAGCTAACAATCTCTGTTGTTGCAGTATTGCTACAAGTGTTTTGTTGTTTTTTTTTAAGAAAAAGGAGGAATCGTAAGTTTGGTTTTGGGATTTCTAGTTATTTATGTATTCTGGGGAGGGGAACATCTGTAATGGCATGTCCCTTACAAACAGTCCAGGTTAATTAACTACACTGAGTCTGGTAATCTATGTCTGAAGAAGTTCTTGATTGGTTCCATACACTGTCCAGTAGATTCAGTATCATTTAGCAGGACGTTAGTTTACTTCTCTGGACGATTCAGAGCATGTGAAGTATTAAAGCAGGTGGATCTCTTAATTCTTGGACTTCGAGTGAGAACATCCTACACAGATAATAGTTCTGTACTTTGCTAGAGCACTGCGTGGAACAGCTGAACACTATGGGCCTCCAAGAATGCTGGTACTTGTTAATAAGTCCTTTAAGATATTTATGCCCTCCTTTAAAGTTGTTTTTTTAAATAAAAATTAAAATTCAGCGGACCCTTAAATCTCATTAACATTAAATGTAACATTATCTCTTGTGTGAAACAACAGGAAAAAGAAACCAAACAACATGCATACAACAGTGATAATAAATAGGGGAAAACAGACACTATTATAATGACTTGTGAGTTACAGAATATTGATTCCTATTAATCTGTTCATAGAGAGCTGAGTTGCAAACAATGTGCAAATCAGAAATAGGTGTTTAGAAGTAGGAAACAGCCTGCATCTGCAATCCACAGGTGTAAGAGACACAGCAATTCAAGGGAAAGACATTTTTGCTTGCTTTACACAGAAATTAGCTTACACATTCAATTGTAGACCAAATGTTTCTAGTGCAATTTTCATTTTACCTGAAGTGCCAGTTCAGCAGGATGCCTCAGCCTTCCTTAGGCAGACTGAACAGACATCGCCAAGCTCTCTCCTGATCAATAAGAATGCTAGAAGTTGTATTTCACTGAACAAGTATAATCCTATTTTTCCTGCTTCTTATAGTCAGAGCGTGACACCTGACACTTCCTACATCATACAGGACTTTACACTTAAGGAGGGACAGGAACCACATCCTGTTCATCTTCTCCAATGGACTGGCAATCTCCCTCGTGTTCAAAGTTTACATTCACGAATGAAGTGCATGCTGTTGCTTCAGGCTGGTCTGTCTGGACAGGAGCTTCAGCTTGTGGCTTGTTCTGCTGTTCCTGGTGCTGTCTTTCTGCTTCTTCTGACATCTTGTTTTCCTGTTCCTCCTCTTCCTCCTAAAAATGGATAACCAGATTCATAACCTACTCTTTACCTCTTAACACCCACTGTAAGGCTTTTCCATGACAGCGTAGCAGTTCCTGTCACAAGGCAAGGACATTTGTTCCATTGGTCATCAGCTCATGATAAGGTATATTTCAGAATTCCCATTATAGAAAAAAAAAGGGGGGGGGGGGGTGAAGTGAGGATTAAGCTATGTTAAACACAAAAAAGTCACATATCCAGATCCAGATAAGCAGTTTTTAAGTCAATAGCAATAATGATATTTCACTATCTGCTCTAAAGCTTTTTCGATTCTTACTACTAAAGAGCTATCAAAAATAAAAACTAAGCAGTAAAGCTGTTTCCCATCTCTTGCAAATTAAGATTATTAATTGTTGGGTTAGGGTTTTTTTTTTTGCATAAAGCACTGGCTACCTATCAGTCATTTCCAGTTATGGTTTAGAACAAATGGTAACAGCGTGTTCAATTTACCCGTGACACTTCATTGAACAAGTTCTAGAGTTGGAAGGTACGTTCATGGCAGCTGCCTCTTTACAGTGTCCAGCAACTGCTTTGTCCCAACTTCCTCACACTGTTGACTTGAAAATGCATTGTGCAAAAAGAACAAATGGAGCAGTGGTCAGGACCCAGCCAGTTCTGAGACTGAGGAGCTTGTGGGAAAAAGGCTGATGATAAGCAAGCATAAATCATGAGTCAAATGGAAACTGAAGGTAAGCAGAAACAAAGGTTCTAAAATTTCATTTTAATGCTGGAATACAAATATTTTAAAATACCAGGGAAGGCAAGTTGGGAGAAAAGGAGTGCAAGAACCCCATCACATACCTCTCTCTTCATTCGGTAATACTCATCAATGGCATATTGGTATTTTGGTGTGCTTATCCCCAAAACAGATGCAATCTTTTCCCCAAGGAAATCACACACTAAAAAATTGAGAGGTTTATATATGATTAGTGTCTAGAAGGAAATTTTAAAACACAGATTTATTTTAAAAGGTGTAGTTGTCTTTCCTGAAAGGTTTACCATTGTATTACTTCACTCAAAAGACAAAACCAGTATTTATTAGGCTGATCTACTTACATGTAATTATTAGCTTAATATATGAGTAATAGTTCTTTAAGATAAAGAATGAACAAAAGGAGAACATGGAAATCAGTGAATGGTGGTGGTGTTTGTTTGAATTTTACTAGTTTCAGCTTTGGATCTAGGTTTCTTTCGCTAAAGTACAATTTTAACTGAATTTTAACTGAGTATTTTTCAGTTAAAAAATATATGGCTACCAACCATAATTGCACTTGAGTCTAATGGTATCAGCAAACTAGAGAGTTATTTATTGAAACATGCATACACTATCAGTTTTAACAGTGTTCTATGTTGCATATTAATGGATTAATGAAATACTGAGGTTTTAGCTGTTTCCATTTCCAAGCTGGAGGCTACGTGCAGCGCTACTTTGCTGAAGCAAGTAGCTCACGGAAGTATGGACCAGGAGAGCTTGTGACAGTCAGTCTCTTTACCACAATGATAGCTACAGCACTGGTTCTTGAGTAAAGGCAAGCAAGAAGTAAAATACATTGCACTTCAAACTGCAAATCTGCCCCGAGAATGCAAATGACTTTGTCATATTTAGGCAAAACAAGTTAGAAGTTAGCAATTGACTACTTCAGTGAATGTTCACAATAACTCATTTTATAGATTTCCTGGCATCCAGAGCTCTGCACAACAGACCAGTTCAAATTACAAATGTAAGAGGCAAAACTGAAGCGGGAAGAAGGAAGTGCTAATCTTCATAACAGACTTCTGAAAGAAATGAAAGCCGTATCTACCTCTCTGTATGAAGAACAGGTATGACAAAGAACAGAATTACACTGTATGTAAGATTAAAAGTGTTTCTAAAAGTGAGGATAGGTTAATTAACAGAACAGACTGCCAGTAGTTTTAAAAAATACTCAAAATTAGGTGTACAATGACAGAAACTCCACATTTGTCAAAGAAAACCCAACAATAAATACACTTTACACCTTGGGAAGAACACAAACTAGGACAAGGATTTTTAAAATGTCACAACATTTTATGAGGTCCATAGGTCAAATAAACTGCAGTGAGTTTAAGACGCCTGACAATAGCCTTATTTTTGTTTATTTTGTAACCTCAGAAGCCTGTGTAAAGCACCATGACTAGATGTGTTCCTGGGGTAATTCCTAGTTGTCTTCTTCATGAAAACAGTCAGTTTAATTACCCCAAGCAGCATTCTTTTCAGGTAACACCACACAAAACAATTCCATACAAAACCTAACAGAAAGCTGATACTCTCCCTTGCCAACACCACCCTGTCTACATATGGAGAAAAAGGGGGAAAACAGTGTTCAGCAAAAGGGTATTTTCTGTTTGTTCTTCCATTCAAGAGTTGTTGATTCAAAGCAAAATACAGGTTCGTAACTCACAAAGATGATTTACAGTCTGTCAGTGCAACTTTCAATATTCCATTACTAGTTTAGCTGAGAATTAAATAAAGCAATACCTGATAAGGTTGATGTGGCAACTCGCAGCATGTGAAACCACAAGTACGGTCCCCACGTGAGTGTTGTCTGTAAGAACAAGAGTAGTATGAATACATGATCACTATATGTTAATGGCACACGGTAATACATGCAAAAGCTCAAACAGACTGAGAAGAAAAATATGCAATGTTTCCTGCTTGTCAGCTACCACAGTATTTTTGATTTAAAATAAGTCTAGACCAGACGTACATGAAGCAAAGTGTCAACATAAGATATAAATATAACCACAGTTTACATCAGGGAAAATCTGCTTCACTGGTTTTTGTTTTCCCGTCCTAGACTAGGAAATGACAAACGTCCAACTCAATCCCAAGGTAACTCCTATAACTAGAAAGACCTTTCCATAATGTTCTGAATTTCATCACGCCAAGAAGAGAAGTGGGTTAATCAAATAGCCCCTTTACTACAGTAATGAGAGAACTGCAAAAGACTGTTTACAACCACACCTTCGAAGTGGTCCCTGAGCAAGAGGCCGCTTCCAAGTATTTACAAGCAGATATGAATTACCATTTGGAATTACCATTCAGAACTGTTTGAAGGACAAAACCAGGAAGCATGAGGGAGGGAGACAGTTACAGCATCCCTCTGAGGGAGCAATGGACAGGCTGCCGGGCAAAGCACGTGCGGTGATGTGAACTAGAGGAGCACAAAATGAATGAAACAGTACTTCAGTGGCATCACCTCAAGCATTTGCATGTAAGCAAGGAAGTCTCTCTGAAGTGCCTGCACACTGAGGCACAGAGCATGGGGCTAAACCGTGTGTGGTAGTCTGTAGAGAGCTGCAGCAGTAGGATCTTGTTGAGACTCCAGAGATGCAGAGGATGGCTCACATCACTGGAGTGCAGTGCAGTGGAGGGATAGACACTCTTTAGGAAGGACAGGCTGGGAAGACAAGGAGGGGGGAGCTGCCCTTGGCACAACTATGGTGAACTTGCAGCCAGAGAGGAAGTGCTGCAGCATCCAGACAGATTGGGGTACTTACACATAGGAACTTAAAGAAGATTTAGACATTAATGGCCATGCATAGACTATCCTCTTCACTATGGAAAGAGGCTGTATATCTTAAACAAAAATAAAACAAGCCACGTAATAAAAAGAAGGGGCAAAACAGATTCCAAACTATCAGGGAAAAAGCTGTGGGTCTTCACTTTTGTGAAAAGGCAAACTAAAATTTCACAGTGAACTTACGACATGTTTATAGTTAACAGTCTTCAAAGAGATTCAGGAAAGCTCTTTGTTATGTATTTCCCCTCAATAAAGATCTCTCTAGAGGTACTTTCCTTGTGGAAAGTAGCAATTCAAAGTGTCAGCTTTTATTAAATAAAACCCATTAGCTCCACTCAGTTGCATATGTATTTATAACTTGTTGCTAAAAACTGTCTGATAGTAACCATTTTCAGTAATCTTATTTGATAGATATCTGTACAGGACACCAATATTACTGTAATACAGGTACAGACTAGTTGATACACCTTCAGTATGCACATACATACACAAGCTGCTTGGCTTCAGAGCTTTCCAAGCATAGCCTCTAAAATCAGTGCAGCGAGAAATCGTCTGTCAAGCCAGAAACTCAAGTTGGGCAAGGCTGAAAAACGCCAGATGTTATATAGTTTTGGCAGTGGGAATGGAAAATGTCCTGCCAAGGTGAAAGTAAGCAAACCCAGCTGCTATCCTGCCTGCACAAAAGCACCTCCAGCTTGTGGATTACGTGCTCAGTTGGCAGACAGGCTAACAACAATCATTTTGGAGTTTGCTCAGTTGAAGAAGTCAAGGAAAGTGCTGTAAAAGCTTGTTGCCACAGGTGAAAAATAATGACACTAAGGAGGCTCTGTACAATCCTTCCTAACGAGGTGAACAAGGCTGAAAACCATTCACACAGCACAGGACAAACAGGGGCCTGCTGTGCCACTGTGAGCAAGAAGCTACAAGACATTTAAGAGTGAAAAAGCAAGCTGAACTGCAACGTGACAGAAGTAGCTCAGAATATTCTAGGGTGTTTGTGGTATAACACAAATGCAGCTAACACCAGAGGCTCGGCAGACACAGAGGCTCCATCTATTTCTGCTCTTCCCCCCCAACAATTAAATAACAGTTTGGTATGTTATGAACACTTCTAAGTTCTGCTTCATGGAAACCTCTGCTTTCTTGACAAAGCTCAACTGGAGCTTTTTCACCCCCACGATGAAAGGCTTTGCCAGTCCCTTCAGTTTAAAAAAGGAGCATTCTTTTGGGGGTCTCAAAAGGCAATACAAAACTATGAGAGAAGCTACTACACACAAATTCAGCAGGGGAAAGGAGATGGCAAGAACAACCAGGAACAAAGGAACACATCCAAGAAGTATTCCCCTCCTTACTTCCTCAGTGCAAGCTTGGGTGGTTTCCCAGAGCACCTTGGGGATCAAAGCAGGAATGGTGAATGTGGGGCAAGGAGAGGTACTAGAGAAAAACCGAACTGTTCAGGTGATACGAACAGGACTGTTAGGCAACAGCTCAGTATGAAGTAGCTTTAATACACTGAGTGATACTGGAAAACAGTACCCAAGTCAGACCCTATTTGCATTCAGTAAGAACCACATACCCAGATTCTGTATGTCAACCTCCTTTGGCCAGAGAAGCCTTAACATTCAGTCTTTAATCAATGCAAGGATACTGTAATACTGTATTTCTTGGCTGGAAACAAGGAACAGCAGTATGGAACACAGGACACTGGTTTATTGTAAGGGCACAGTATTTTTCCTGCCATCAGTCTCTTCAGTATTCATTTCTACAATGCCTGATTATACAATTGAGCTATCCTGACTTTACCTTGTTGTCTAAAATTGAAAACACAATGGTTATGATGACTGTTTTTTAAACTGCAAAAATTCTCAACATACAATTTTAATCCAACTACTGCATTTTAAGTAGGAATGAACAGAATGGATTTGACCGTTGATAAAACCAAGAGGGCTCTGGTTCAAGAACTAAACATGATTTTGTTTCCTAGTATGGGGCTGCTGAAGGGAGCAAACACCCACTTCCTTGAACTTCCAAGCGCTCCATGTTCCCAAACAATCCACATCTATATTTATTTCTGCCAGATTTCAGTCCCTAATAACACTTGAACTTTCAAAAGAATGTAGGGTTTCTTTTTGCCAGAGAAATGAAAAAATGAGGAAAAGAATAATTTTCCAAGTCAAGAAAAATCAAATCCCATATTTAAGAGTTAATACATGCCACCAAACAGATACTTTCCCATTGTTTACTGTGCCAAGATGCTTTTTAAATTAGTTTAGTTATTGAGTGATCATTGCTATAATAGGTCCTTCAGTGTACGCACCATGTAAATCTGTGGCATCTAACACAAGCCAATGAAACCAAGATCTGAAACACACACCATCCTCCATCAAAAAGCTTCTACTATATCACGAGTTGCTAGTACTTGGTCAGTGACTATGTTTCCCTCTCATCCACAAATTCTTAAAAGAAAATTAGAGTTTGACAGTCCTCCAGAGAAGACTTTTTGCTATTTGAAGTTAAGCTCCTTTTAACTACAGGACATCAAGATAATCTTCCTTTCAGAATGTGATTCAATCTTTCTGAGCACTGAAGGTCAATAAAATTAAATCTCTTCTGGAGCTCTGTTGCAGAGGTGTACTCGGGATGAATTCTAAGGTTACCACCAACAGCTACATTGCTTCCAGTTGCTCTGCAAAGACTTACTCCACTTTCTGCCTACTCATGTAGTAAGTGAATGAAACAAAGAGTTTATAGCAAGTCGCACTCCAGAGATGAACAGAAAAGAGTATCTTCTAGAACAGGTTAGAGAAATTTAATTACTACAAAATAAAGTTTTGGTGGACAGAAGCAAAAACAGATTTGTGTATAATGTGTAAGCACCTACATTTTAGAATAGAAGACTCATTTAAAATTAAGGCATTTATGTTATTAAAACATTTATATTATTAAAGCATTTAAACTTTGAGAAGACTCAGATAATACTGAGTGCTGTTATCTAAAAAACCCAGGTAAAAATGTATTAAGCATACCATGCGTTCTAGATTCAACTCGCTCTAAAAAAAAAAAAAAAAAGATAAACCAAAACAACAGAATGGCCACTCCAGTCCAAGAATCTTCCTGAACTCTGTGCTCACCTATACAACAAGAACCAGAATCATTGTTTCAAAGCAAAATTTAAGACCTACTAGTTTCTGAGAACTTGTTTCGCTCTGAGTGGCAGCAGTCCATCACACTGCTTTGGTTATCATATTACCAGGATACATACATGTTACTTTGCTTACTAAGAAAGGCATCATCACTGCCTGCTTAGCTCTGAAACACAATTAAACCAAGGTACTTACTGAAGACATTCTTTACAATGTGGCAAAATATTTATTTCCCTTACAGTCATTAGAAACTGCCAGGATGCCAATACCAGCTGAGCTCTGAAATTTCATGATGCAGTTTCTATTAAAAATATTAAATGAGCATTTTCTAAAAATAAATTGGACCAAAAAGAGCTATTACTTGCAACATACTTTTTTGTGTCCCAACTGAGATAACAAGTTTTAGACATGCTGGTCTCAGCAAACTGACTGTTTAATTGCTTTTATAGAAATCCTACAATAAGAACATTTTTAAGGCAACAGTTGGCTAAAACATCAAAGCTCAGCTTGGACTAACATTTCTTCATTGAGTGGCTCAGCTGGGATACATGAAGCAGGCAGCAGATAAGGTAAACTTCACTTAATGCAACCCTTGGTCTAATCAAGTTTATTCTGTCAGGGTACAAAGCAAGATATATAAGGCATACTGTGCTCCACAATAAACTATTCTGGGTTTGGGGGTCCTTTTATTAAAAAGCATAATAAAATTAAGGATTTCATAAACTATACAAGGAGAATAAAGCAATCTTAACTGTGCCATACAATGTACTCTTTAGTATTCTGAATAAAAAAAACAAAAATCCTTATTAGGTAAGCAGGAGAAGGGTCACAGAGCATTCCGGGCTGCTGTGCACGTTTAAGGGCTCTTCAGTCAAGTGTCGATTTGTACAGCACGTCTCTTGCCTCACAACATGTGAGTCAAGGCTTGTGAGCCTCCCACCACTGCACCACAGTGGAACTCTTCAACTGAGAGGAAATCGCACAAAAAATTACACAGATCTGGTCCCCTGCTAATCGTAGTTGGGAAAAAAAATAATCTCATACATATCCATGGATATCTGACGTGACCTGCATAGTGGGGAACACATCTGACCTTGAAAATACCTGGGCATTACCATGATATTCAGTAAGTTTCACAGTTCTTGCACTTCTTGGAGTAGGTCCTTAGGGAGGAAAAGAAAAGCAAACCCAACACCCAGCAAGGCAGCTTAACATCTAGTCACTGGTTTTGAGTATTTATTTTCAGACTATAGCTGAAGTATTTATTGAACATTTATTTTCAGACTATAAACTTCAGGTGTACTTTATACTGATAATATCCTACCTGCTCAGCGGCTAATACTACTCTTTGTTGTACACCAGAACTACCTAGCAAGAAACAGAGTCCATCAGTCCATCCAAGATGAAATGCACAGCTTCACCCATAAATCACTAGCAACCCCAATCCCAGCTGAATTCCCAGTCTCACTGCAGCTCAGCCCTCAAACCACTTTTTGGGCTTTTTTTCCCCCTGTCTTTAAGATAAGTTCATTTTACAGAGGGGAAAAACAGAGGAACTGATTGATAGTCCTTCCTAAAGCAAACTCCTTACTGTTCCCCACTTCTTCAAAAGAGAATCAGCAGAAGGTCAAACTCTTCACTGCAGCTCCTTCAACAAAGCCAAGCTCTCCCAGGATGGATATACATATAAATAAATACAGGGCCTACTACTGTTCAGTAAACAGAGAGCTTCAACCACATTTCTTAATTATGGATTTTAAACCAATGGTGCAGAAGTCACTTCAACAGCAATATGAAATAGATAGCAGGGTACTGGTTTCGGTGCATACAAAGACTCGTATCAGAAGCATCAAAACAAGCAGCTCCATACTGGTATCTGCTTCCAGCATGCAAGCAGGCAGGACTAGCCACTGCACAAAGGAATGACTCACAGCTGCCTGACCACACTCCAGCACATCAGAAAGGATCCAGCCTCTATCTCAGTACAGGCAACAAAGCCCAGAGAGTGACAGGAAGGGAGCCCCACCGGCAGGCAGGGAGTAGGACTGCAGACCCAATTCACAGCGGTAAGAATTGTTGTAGGAGGGAAAAGAAGTTTGCAAACTTAAGAAGTTTGGGACACCAGTCTGTGGGGGTGTCATGAAAGAAACATGAGACTAGGGATGTGCACAGATGAAGAGAAGGATGCAGATCATCTCTGGGACCAGCTGCCAGAGGGCAGAGAACTGCTGCTGCCAATGCTGGCACACATGGCTGAGAGCTTTGCAGATAAACCATCACCACAGAATAGACTGTCAGACACACAAGCAAAATAATACATTATATCTTTCATTTTACCTCTAAGCATAGATCCAGAATCATTAACAAACAGGAAAATGTATTTCAGCAGCTGTAATACACACTACTGGAGACAGTTTTACCTGTCAAAACCTCACCTGAATTAGGACCAATAAGTGGAGACTTCTCCATTCACAGGTTGAACAACACCTTAACAGCTTAGAAGGCAGATGAAAATTACATACATAGACTAGGCAGATGTTCTAAAAGCTGTTCTTGATACATCATGAATTACACCAGTTTTCCTTTATTTCTGCAAGTCATCTGTTTCTTTTCCTTCTAACATTTTTAATTATATCAAATTGCCAGTATGGTAACATCATATTAGAGGTTCAGCTCTCCACTGTCACCAAACATAAGGAAACAACTGCCTTCCCTGCCCATTTTTTAGACAGCAGTACAAATCAAGGAGACACCACTCAAATATTATTAGAGGAAGACATACTGGAGAGGACACACTAGAACCGTGAAGAAATTAAACCCGCTTCTAAGTAACACGGCTACTTCAGTGGAGGACAACTCCAAGACAAAACTTCTCAGGAATACTTCTCACAGACTTCTCAGTGCCTAGAGCCAATCAAATTGAGGGAATGTTTAATAGTGCACCAGATTCATGTCACAAAAGTTAAAGTATGAAATGTGGGCAGTTACCCAGTAAACCAGAAGTAGCAATTTATCAAGTACAATACCTACAGGATCTACAGGTGGCAACAGGTCTTTTTTCTCTTGTTCATCTTCCTCTTCATCTGTGCTATATTCTTCCATTGTTTCTCCACTTGCAAAATGAATAACCCTCCTTGGAATTTTCTTCTTCTTTCCTATGACACCCAGCTCCACATTCTCAAAGCCTCTGTCTCCATTTGTAAGTTGCTATAATGAGGGAAAAAAAGAATCATTATATCAGGTACATACTTCTGGAACTGGAAAAGTTCCCCCTTAAAAAACTTAGTGAGATATTTACATTCTTTTAAAATGATTAGTGTATACAGGGGACATTTGCAAGAGCTTGGCTGCAGGTAAAAGATGGAAACATTACTGTTTGTAGACACATAAAAACTGATCTCATCATTAAAAATAACCAGGAGGTAAGTGCTTTCACTTCAGCATGGACAGGGGGTATCAAAAACAACTGTTCTGGAAGAGCACTGTGTTATGTGGGAGTTTCTTAGTAGCACACTTTAAATATTTTACTGAGCACCTAAGTGTTACATTTAAATCTCTCCTTGGGTTTGGAATACCTAGTGAAATTAATCACGCAATTCATAAGCTGTGGCCATCTTTTTGCAGGCTTAGACAAACACCTCTAGCACTAGAATTGAATGAGGATAATGAAGCAGCCAGGCTCAAGCTTTAAAAAGATGCATCGAGGAATCTGCTTCTTTGGGCTTTCATCGGCAATCACAATTAGTACACAGGACCATGCTAAAAGGACAACACGCACTTTTGTGGCTAAGGACATATAAAAAGAGAAGTACAATGTCTGGTTTTGTTCTTCCAGCTGCTGAATACTACAATGCAGTCTTTGGGCCACAAGCACTAAAAAAGTATACTTCTAGTTCAAAGGCCAATCAATAATTCTTTATGCTAGTAACTCCTGCAGCCAGAGAATGTAAGTGAGGTTTTGTGCTGCAGCTATCGAAACAGAGCCTTCACCTTACAGAGCTTTCAGACATTACTGCATCAAATGCATAAAACCCCTCTGAAAACACTTCTGTCATGCAGAGAAGGACACAGAGACCAGGAAATGCCAACCACATGTTTTTAATACACTGTGAAGGTTTTTAAATATGCACGAGCTCCTGTAATTGGAAACCATATCATAAGGAGTGAGATGTGTGTACGTGTACATAGAATTCAGGTTGCACAAAACGGGCACATTCCAATTTTCGAATGGCAATTGCCTATGCAAACTTCACAGTCTCCACAGGTTGCAATCCAAAATTATTAATGAGAATATGTATTTTATCACATAAAGATATCCCTTAACTGTTGCAAGTGCAGCATCACCATTCCCATCTCTTACACTAGATTATATGAATCAGCTGTGCAACACAAACAGGCTTGGTTAGCTGGGAAAGCCAGTGGGACAGAAGGGGGCTGTGGGGAGCAGAACAGCTTCCTTCCAGGCACAGATTCTTCCCGTGCCCATAGAGAAGAGGGAGGGAAGTTAAAAGATCACGTGCGGAGCTCTACAAAGCAGAGAGGGAGTGCACACATTCATCATCCTTAGCCTTTGTACCACTGCTTCTCAAAACTGCAAGTCATTTCAGCTTCCCTTAGCATTTCTGTAGCTACTGTGGCACATTTTGGGCATTTTCCTGGAAGAGCAGAGCAGAATGAAGCAGCAAGTTCTCAATGGGGTAGTTCAGCTGAAACAGCATTACATTTTCATGCAGAATTACATTTTCATGTAGAAAGACAGAACTGACTACATGGGGCCCAGCGTACTCTCTCTGCTCATACCAGTCTTGGGAACATAGCAGGAACAGAAGAGCAAAGCTGCAAAAATATGAATGCTAAAAACAGCGAGGCAACCTCAGCACAAGGAGCATGCCTTGCTGCTCCTATAAAAGCAGGCGCCACTTACTGTGACTCAGTTCTGTATTTTTTGGAGCAAAGAGCACCATAGAATCAGCCTTTTATGAACATTTCACTCTTTCCTTGGCATTGTACAATGATGCCATTTTTCATGTTTAGTCACAGTGCTGAAGAGCACTGTATCTTGAAGCACGGCATCACAAATATTACTGTGATTAACAACAGCAAGCAACATGAGCCTCTCCTTAGAGCTCCTCTAAAGGCAGTCTGATTTTGGTTAGTTTAACCCAAATGCTTCAAATATTTTAACTTAGAAAAAACCTGCAGATAACATTTAAAGTTGAAAAGGCAGCCTTCAATTCCCTGCATGCCCATCCCACACTCCATTTACTCTACCTACAGTAAACAGCTCCATATAGCTGGTACTGGTACAAAGTTTCAGGCAAATGTAGTTGTTCAAGACAGTAAGGATTCATCGAGGAATGATGAATCTTGTTTCCTTGGTAATCTGGTTCAGAGTCCTAAATTATCAAATAAAAGTAACACATATCAGCTGTTGTTCTGGTTGTTATCTAATCAACAAACCTGGATGTGGGTTTCAGTCATCACTGTAGCATTTGTCCTTCTAATTTCTACATGCATGATCAATAAAAGCCAGCTCTCCCAGCTGCAGGCAGAAAGTTCATCAATGGTAAATTGTATTTATCTTCCCAAAACTGTGGCAACACAGATGTACTCTAGAATTGGCATCTAGGCTCACTTTATAGCTCAAATGATACAGTATCTCCTGTCTAAGGCTTTACACTTTTAATCTTCCTTTACAAACTTGATCTTTTCCAATTTAAGAAGATGTCACAAAGATCATCCTTCTACTCCACACTTTGGTCAGGTTGCCACCTCGCTTCTTCCACACATTTCTTTCCTTTCCAACACATCACATGGGTGTTGAAAGACAGCCTTGTCTTAACCTCATGCTGCATAAGTATTGAATTCGGCTTCTATTCTGGCAGCTATCAGACACAAAGGCCAGTTACCCTTGCACTTTTGCCACACCAGGCTATGCTCTTAAGGTGCTCAGTGAATGCTGTAAAACAGCTTCCTTTTAGGCGTCCTTGTGGAATTTTTCTTGACTTTACAGCACCCATACAAACCTTGCCCGTCAGGAAGTCAGCATCTGAAACTGCTGCTCCTTGTTTACCCTCCTTACACCACTCTCTTATCTCACCCTTTGGACAGAGACTGAGAGAGAGCACGTCATGCTTTGACAGGAAGTACAACACTGAGCACAATAGAATGTCAGTCCACATCCCAAATGCCAAGATAAATAAATGACAATTAAGGATGGGGTGTGTCAGTACACCTGCAGGTAAGCTAGCAAAGCTCACACAACTAGTATTAGGTGATGCAGTAACACAAACCTTCACCAAGGAGAGGAAAAAGCAAAGCAAAAAATAACAGGGAAAACAGACTATTCACTTCAGCATCTTTTAATCTGTCAGACTGGGGTATCCTTACAAGAGCTCATGACCCGAAATGCCCAAGTCTGCGATGTCCGCTCTCCCTCAGACAGATGAGTAATTCAATTTGCACAGATCTACTGACCTGACAGTGCTACTTACTAGAAGGCTGGCAATAGCTAATGAGAAACAACTCCACCCATGCATGCAGTTTTGACTGCCTTACTGATTTCATTTGGGTTAATTCTGGAGCTGGGGTTTTTTTGGGGATATGGTTTTGAGGGGGTTGTTTGTTTTCATACAGCTTGACTTTCCACCCGTGTTTCCCCTGACATTAAACAGCGTGTCTATGAAAGAAGGTAAGACAGTAACAGAGCCACAGGAGGACTGTAAGAAAAGACAATCCTTTGAGAGGCACCACGATCGGTGAAGGTGCAGTGCATAGAGCAGGCTGTGGCAGGGTGTAACAGCTCACCAGGTTACACTTAATTAAGAGCTAGCGTCCCTGACCATCTCCAACGCCTTATCCACCTTGGCAGCGCGGAGGGAAGCTGAAACCTGTCTCAATTTAATATTCATCAGGCTCGTTTGTAAGAGGCGTTATGTGCCGGTGAACAAGTGACACCGGAGACACGCGTGCCCGCCGTGCCGACTGTAATTACCGAGCGATGGAGAACATGCTGACAGACCGACCTCCCTCCTCCGCGGCCAGGCCCCACCAGCCACAGCGGACAACCGGCCGGTGCCGGGACCACGCTCCTGCACACCCGAGAGTGTCAGGCCGTGGCCGGGCAGCGCCCCCGCCAGCCCGCCGCGGCCAGAGAGGCCTCGCCCGCTCCCCGAAGAGGCCTTCCCCGGGCGGCCCGGCCGGGACGGTCCGGGGAGAGGCCGCCCCACCAGCCCTTGGCCCCGCTCACCTGCTCAGGCTCCATGGCGCAGGCAGCAGCCGCGGGGCCGACGGCGGGCGCGCAGTAAAGGGTGATGGCGGACAGCCCCTGCTCCATCCTCCCGCCCGCCGCGGCGCCGGGGGAGGGCGGCAGCGGGCCCGCCGCGGCCCAGGGAAGCGAGCAGCCGGGCGGCACCACCCATCACCACCGCCCGCCGGGGCGGTGCTTCGAGCCGCTCTGCGCCCGAGGGGTGGGGTGCCCCAGGGACCCGCTGTCCTCCCATTGCTCTCCAGAGCTCGGCAGCAGCTGGAGACGAGGGGTGGAGGCTCGGGGCAACGGGGCTGTCAGGCACAGCCGTATCTACACACAGCGGGAAGCTTACTTCCTCGGTGAAGAGATGAAACTATGAATGTTGTGGGGAAATACACACGTCATCCTTCTCCAGTATTGTAAAAACGTGCAAAATAACAGAAGAATGGTCCGAGAAACACACAAGGTTACTTGACAGGATATAGGAGTTCTGTCTCAAAAGCCAAGTTGCTACCTAAGCCTTTAAGTATGCAGTCATTTTACACATTTTAAAGGCGAAAACCACAGAACAAGAAAGGGAAACCAAAGGTGCCCTGGCCCTGGGGATGTGCCCGTGTGAGAAAATAACATTTATTCCCAGCAGGCAAGAACGACTGTTTGCCAGGCAATTGGTTTGCTTAGCTACTCCAGCCCAGACCTGGAGTCCTTTTCTCTCCTGTTTATGCTGAGGCCTCCTTGCCGCTGGTAACGGCCACCAAACCTGCCAGAAAATGGTTCTCGAGTAGTTGTTACTCATGGCACTTGCTGGCCATTGCCTCTCCTGGGTTCCTGCAGACAGGTCGCCAGTTCAAAATAATAACTCGAGAACATACAGACCATGATAGCTTCTGTTCTCCTGCAACTCCAGGATTTTCTTCTACGTGGTGTGCTCTGCAGGGTCCATAAGCATGAAAGAAATTATGGCCATGCTCCCTAAAATGTTCTCCCATAAAGCTATGAGAGCATTTTATAGGTGCTCCTATATAGTAGAATTCTTCCTTTTAAATGCCTCTGACATAAACCTGCATGTATATATATACCCAGACACACACATACATGCATTATATATATATATATAAATAAAACTTAGTAACTTTATGCAATCATACCAAACAGGCTCCAAAGTTGTTTCTACCTGTCACATTAACGTAAGAGCAATATACTGCTGTTTATTCCAACCTATACTTTAGAAATAATAATTGTCATATATAACACTTTAAAGTATGCCCTTGCCAACACACAACTAGTGACAGTATGCTTCCTGGCAGGTAGCAAGCAGCAGTAAGTTTGGAAATGCTGAAACTAAAGTCTAAATGTATGCAATGAATCGAAAATAGAAATTAATTGTTGGTAACTGAATAGTCTGAGCCAGTCCAGAAGCACAGTGCTTCACCATTCATCCTCAACATACCTACTCGTGTTTAATCTCCATCAAAAGCATTCAACTTAACTATCCAGTTCCTCCTATAGACTGCATTCCTAACCAAGATTTATTTACTACTCTTTGCTGCATAGCTTTGTGTGTTACATTGGTTCATACTGCTCAAGAACTGAAATAAAAAGATTAAAAGAACTGAACAGTTTTAGTAAACACCACTTAAGTAGCTGAGGCAGCTGTCCAAGCTGGTGACATGAAAGGCTTCATGCTTTTGTTATATTTAAAATACTTATTTAAAATACCCAACTTAACTGGTCCTTTTACAGACTAATGCTATTGCATTAAATGATGCACTGTAGGTAAATAGCATAGATGAAGATTTTTCAGCATCACATACATTGAACATACGTATGACTAATTGTACACAAGATACTTCCACATTATAAACTAAGTTACCGCGCATCTTGTTTTATTAGCACAGGAGCATAACTACCAATAGAATCTATCCTCTGTCAGCTGTGTTAGCTGCCACCTCAAAGAACTGGCTGACAGAGGGACTCACCTTTAATCACTGCATTTGAACACCTCTTAATTACTGCATTTGATTGTTATCTAAGCAACAGAGATGGGTGTCCATTTACAACCCAAGCACTCTCCAGTATATTAAATTCTTAATATAACTCCTTGCCTTAAGATAAGGCTGAAAGATCTTACCATATTTGCCAAGACGTATGTTGGATTTCAAGGTTCATCTGGTCTACCTAGTTTCTCAAGTGTGCCTGTAGATTCCACCCTTTTGAGATCAACACAGTAAACTGGAATATTAAAAGAAAAAATGCTGTAGGAAACTAAAATCAGATTGTAGCCGAGTTGGGGTAATACGCTCAGTCAGATACAACTAGCTGGGTCTGGTTTAAGTTCAGTACCAGCACAGAATTCCTACATACAAAGTACGTATTAGAACTTATCTCCATGATCAAAGAACCGCTTAATTGGCAGGCTGGTATGAAGATTAATCCTCAGTATGGGACAGCTTGAGAACTGCGTACCCATATGGCTTTAGTTACTTCTGTGTGTACAGGGGAAGAATAGTAATGTTCTGAAGCACAAAGGTTTGTACAAACCTGAGCATAGCACATTTCTACAAATGCTTCAAGGAAAACACCTGAGCAGCAACAGCACATTTCAGATACTGGATCATTCTTACAGTATCAATGCCAAATATGAGCTAAAACAGTCATTAGAAACAACTCAAACAAAGGAAATCATGCAATTATATACTGATAAATGACAGTTATGAAAACTGAAGAAACAGGCCATTCCCTTGTTTATAACCACTTAAATTTTATTTTACAGTATATTTGTGACATTTTATGTTACTATAACCAAAGATCAGGGTTGTTTACAAATATAATGGCTGCCATTTGATGTAAACAATTAGAAAGTCTCTAAATATTAAAATTTTACATAATGATTTTGTTCTATTAAATTTAATTACTCTTTGTGCCATCAGTTATTAGTGGAGAGGAACTAATTTAAGCAAAAATAGTTTTCAGAAATTAGATGTAGAAACTGAGAAGCCTGAATAAGATTTCAAAAGACTACTCCCCTAATCACTGTAAAAAGGAAGAAAGCAAATTCTTTCACTGAAGTTGCCATGAAGAGTCAAAATCTGCTTTTATTAAGGCTTCTTTACATATTATTGAATCCCATCATGCCTTTCATATTTCCAGCAGCACCTTGTTGGAATTGTCTCATCATTGACTGCAGTCCTGCCATGCCACCTGCAGAAGGTAAGTGAGAACACAGATGTGTTAATTAACTCTGAAGCACAGCTATCTTGCTTGGGGCCTTATCACAGTGAACACACTATTTCAATAACACACAAATGCAAATGCCCAAGACTGAAGCTAGGTTTCAGTGGCTACTGAAAAGGGACAATTGAGTAATTACAGGAAGGTCTGCAAAACATCAGGCTTGAAGTAGGTTTTAAGATGACCTGTGTATGAAGATCTAGACAAAAGAAAAAACCTTGAAGTAGTGACCATTATCAATTAGTAAAGTTCCAGAATGGAGTCTTTAAATAAAGATACTCCTGTCAAATTGAGGCATTTGAGGCAAAGACTACAAAAGAAGGGAAGTTTAGGAATAGATGTGCTTTAGCACAGTCATGCTTACAGTCACCACTTTACTACTTCGGACACCCCTCCAACTGATCATTTTGAGAGCCAAATCCCAGTGAAGAGACTAGATTAAGCACTGGTAAGTGCAAAGCATTCATAACATATGGACTAAGCTTTATGATTTTTGTCAGGAAACCTAGAAATACTTTGTACTGATATTAAATGCATGCTTTGTCATATCACCTTCCTCACTGCTATATTTCAAATGCTCCACTGTAATTGGTAGTCCTCTACTGAAGCTGTAAAAGCCAACACATACCCATATGATGAAGAACTCTTGGATCCATCATCTTTGCCATCTGTTGATTCAGTTTGGCCAGCTGAGATGGATTTACATTCTTCGACATATCACCACCTAAAAAAAAATTACAAAAGAAGCAATTGTAAGCAAGTGGATTAACATATGGGGCTAAAAATAAATCAGACTTCTACCTCCTAATTTTAGATTGAAATCCATTTGAATCCATGATCAAAAGTTACTGTATCAGGCACTCTAAAAATATTTTAATGATCAACAGTCCCTGCACCCCACATAACAGACTGAAGTGTCAGTAGTGTAGCAGTAATGAAGTCTACATTGATGAAGCCAAAATACAGTAATTTTCACCACTGTTGTACATTAGTGTCGTGAAGAACAACGCAGCTCTCACCAGTTACATAAAAGAACTTTCAAACACCAGGAAAATAAGCAAACTACAGCTCATTTTGTCCTCTCTCAACACCCGATTGACATTTTCACATTACCTCTGTGTTCACACATCACATAACCTCCCCACTGAGTTACTAAGTGTTGTTTGGGGTTTTTGTTTGTTTGCTTTAGGTTGTTGTTTTTTGGTTTGTTTTTTTTTTTACCTTTGAAAAGCCCTTTGATGCCTCCCATCTTTTTCACCATCTGTGCAAACTTAGTATATTGAGTCAACAGCTCTTGAACATCTCTGGTAGAAACACCTGAACCTCTTGCTACTCTTTGGATTCTTCCTGGCTGCTTACTGAAAACTTTGGCACCATCTGTACTGTCAAGTTCTGCAATTACAGTGTCAGAAAGAGAAATCCATTCAGTTACTGGCATTAAAATCTACTACAGCTGGTAGCAAACTTGTTCTCATTATTGTTGAGAACTGAAGTTTTGAGCCAGGGATCAAAAACCTTCGTTTAGAAATGACAATGCAGAATTTAACATAAATAATTGAGAAGTAATATTCTAAGGAGTAGTATAAAAACATTGTCATGTTTGTATGTTAATCACCACAGCAGCAAAAGTCACATGAATAAATTACGCTTTCAGCATACTTGGTCTTAAAACATATTAAGGGTTTTAGGACAAAGTTAAGAGCATACTCCTGCAAGAGTTATAAATGGATTAGGAACACCACCTTGAATTCCAGAGACGAGGCTATGTTACCAAGTAAATTTGAGGGTGTGTAGGAAAAAACACAGCAACGACAGATTAAAGATGAATGTAGCGTTTTAATTTGCAAGTGTAGCATTAATAATTCAAGAAGCACAGCTACAGGATGAAAAATAAAAGTACATTCATTTCCATTACCCTACAATAATCTCCAAATGCTTCAAAATCCCACTT